AGCATCCAGATAAACAGTGTGAACACTTCACCCCGTGTGTCTGACCCTGTACCTAGATCACCTCAGCATTTCAGAGCACACACCCCTTCAGTCAGAAAGGAAAAGTTCTGTTCTGTCACAAAGCAAAGATCCAGCCCAAACTCCTCACCTTCAACCCCTTCTCCAGGATCTCCTCTGCTTTGGCCCCACGAACCGTGCAGTGAACAGCGATTTTCTCGTTTCTCCTGATCCCGAAGGACCTCACCGTGTACCGGGCTGTGGGCAGCAACAGTCACACTCAGGGGACAGCCAGAGAATTCCCACCCGGGGGATTCGGAGCTTCTCAACACCCCAAAAATTCACGGAATTACAAAGAACCGAGGCAGCCTCACATTCCGTCTTTAGGGATGCTGGCAAAGCAGCAGCCTGAGTTTGAGACAGAACTAAAACGCACAAACGCGCACGAATCCCTGAATATTGAAGCCCCTCAATTCTCCAGCAGCTCTCCCGATTTAAGGAGCCTTTCCTGGGAACCGCACCCAGGGGAAAGGACGGAAAACACCCGAGGGAGCACCCAGGGCTCCTCCACAGCCGCTCACCTTTGGAGAACACGGGGGTCTGCCCCGTGAGCTGCTCCAGCACCTTGGCGGCGCGGGTGAGCCGATCCCCGCTCTCCCCGACGCAGATGTTGAGGCAGAGTTTGCGGATCCGCAGCTCCCGCATCGGGTTCTCCTTCTCACCCTGGTCCTGCTGCGGAGAGAACACACCGGGGGTAACCGGGGCTGCCCGGGCCGCTCCCGCCCGCCGCCCCGGCAGCCCCAGGACGCTCCGCCGGGGCTCCGCTGAGAGGTTTGCACAGGCGGACACCGCGCCCCGCTCCCCGCCGAGCCCAAACTCCGGTACCGCGGCCCCGTCTGGAGCGCCGCCAGCACCGGGCGGGCCGCGGCCTGTCATGGCTGCAGCCGCTGCCCCGGCTCATCCGCCCCCATCCCGCCCCCCCGCCGCTCCCGCCGGCCTCCCCCGCTCCCGCCCGCACGGGTCACGGCCTAGCGAGCCCCGCGGAGCGCGGATGGCGGCGGATGCAGACGGCCCGGGCAGCGGGCCCAGCACTCACCGCCATGATGGAGGCGGGGAAGAGGCGGGCGGGGCGCGGCCGCGGGGAATTGTGGGAGCGCGCGGGGCGGCGGCGCCCCCTGGCGGGCGGAGGGCCGGGTTGCCATGGCAACCGCCGTTAATTAATGCTCGTTATTGACAACAAAGCCAAACGCGGTAATTACGGTAAATATTTACAGTAATTACAGTTAACCGAGAGAGGGAAAACAACCCGAACACGTGATGCGCAATGGAGTTGTTCACCAGCCCTGATTGATGCCAGAACTCTTCCTGAACCTCAAGTTCTATACTGGGAATGACTTTCCCTCTGTGGGATATCCCTTGGGGATCAGCTGTCCTAGCTACACTCCCCAGCTTCTTTTGGGAACCACCTCACTGGCAGAGCATGAAACCAAAACAATAGAAAAAGAAGAAATAAGAGTTACTGACTTAGGATAGACATGACTTAGCAAAAATCCAAACCAACGTTCATTTTTCCTTGGAGCAAGGATCAGGGGAAGGCAGGCTGAGATCCTCAGAGCAGTTATAGTTTAATGGCATTTAATTCATTGGTTGTTCTCACCCGAACTAAAATCCTCAGCAGCAGCTTGGGTGAGAGATGCTGCACCTGATATTGGAGCAGCTCCCAGCGAGTGTGGTTATCAGAGCCTCTCACATCCTCACAGCCCTGAATTCCTTGAACCAGACCCAGGAAGGCAGTCCAGTTTCACTTCACTCTTTCAGGAAGGTGTTGGTGTGTTTCAAGAGCTCCGTCTGGGATCTGGATCCTCTTTTTGTACCACTTGGGAGGCTGCCAGCCCATTCCCTGCTGCACTCAGCTTCAATCACAGCACTTTGGAGTCCAAGCTTCTCCTCAGTGGCCACATCCTGAGCAGAAAATGCCTTCAATGAGGCTCACACTCAGTGAGGATGGCAGCAGCTCAAGGCTCTCCCTGTTTATCCCCTTTCCCTGCCTCCCCAAGGCCGTGTAATGCCATCAATTATTTTTTGCCCCAGTTGCTTCTTAGCGGGGATGAAGGATAAATGAATAATCAGCTTGTCTCATTAAGGAGAGAAAAAAACCTGACAGGAGTCTCCGTGCAGAGGGTGTGAAAAGCCTCTGGTTCAAAAGCAACATTGCTGCTTCATTCTGGATTTCCTTCATGCAGGAACAGCTCTGCTGGAAACAGCTGCAGGCTGGGCTGGCTTCCAGCTGCCAGCAATCCATGCTTCCAATGGATTCCAGCAATGCAGGAGCAATCCTGTGGGATGTGGCTGTGCTGCAGGGCTGCTCCATGGATCCAGTGGATTCCAGCAATCCAGGAGCCATCCTGTGCTGCAGGGCTGCTCCATGGATCCAGTGGATTCCAGCAATCCAGGAGCCATCCTGTGCTGCAGGGCTGCTATTACAGCGACCTGAGTGGGTCGCAGGGGGTGAGAGAAAGACGAGAATCTTGTTTCTTGATCAGAAGGCTGGATTTATTGATATATGATATATAATACATTATAACTATACTAATAAGAAATAAAGAGAGAAGTTGCAGAGCTAGCTAAAGCTAAGAATAGAAAGAAAAGAATCCATAACAAAGTTCTGTGTCCAGGGACTCTGTCCCCAGCTTGTTCCTGTGATTGGCCCTTAATTATAAACATGGAACATGAACCAATCACAGGTGCATGCTATTGCATGTCACAGCAGCTGATAACAATTGTTTACATTCTCCTCTGGGCCTCAGCTTCCCAGAAAATGCAGAAATCTGAAAGAAAGGATTTCTGTGAAAAAATGTCTGTCACAGGCTGCTCCCCACGGGCACAGGGGGCTGGGGGTGCTGTGCCCTCTCCCCTCTCCACAGCAGAGCCCAGCATGGATGGTTTGCCTGTGGCCAAGATCAGAGAATCTCAGTGTCACTACAGGACACCACTGCTGCTCTCCTGGTGAAAAAAAAAAAAAAGGAAAGTTTATTTTCTGACTCCAACATTTATAGATTTCCCAAAAGTGGCAGTGGATTGCAGGGTGACAGTGCCACCTCTCCACTGGACAAACCAACAGCCCATCAGATTTCTCCTCCTCCATAAAAAAAAAAAGAATGCAAAACAATCAGTTATTTACAGGAAGTGTATGAGGAAGTTCTTTACAAGAATGTCAACATCAGAAGGCTTGGAAAATCTTAAAAAATCAGGGTGACAGCTGAGGGCTGCAGAGAGGGAGGAGGAATTGTCCCAGCCACTCTGGGGGTGCTGGGGGACAGCACAGAGCTCAGGGTGTCACCGTGTCACCCTTCCCTGTGTCTCTGTGTGACCCCCGATGGTGTGAGCCCATCCCATCTCTGCTCCTGGCTCCTGCCAGCTGCAGAGAGCTTTGCTCCACTCCAGACATGGAGAATCACAGAATTATGGGGTGCTTTGGGTTGGGAGGGATCTCAGAGCCCCTCCAGTGCCACCCTGCCATGGCAGGGACACTTTCCACTGTCCCAGGTGCTCCAAGCTCCATCCAGCCTGGCCAGGGGCTGCTCTGGGCACCTCTGCCAGGGCTTTACGCCCTCACAGGGAAGAATTGCCACATCCCATCTTGTTGCAGTGACATTTCCTCCCTTGGCATTTCTCTGCTGAGTTCAGGAAGCTTTCCCTGCCTGGCTCAGAGCTTCCCACTCAGCACTCCCTGTCCCCTCTCCCCATCCCCAGACCCACCCAGATGGGTCCCACAGGGAGCTCTTGCTGCTCTGACTCATCCCAGTCCCCAGCTCTGCTTGGCCAGGTGCCACCACCACATTTTCTCTGCGAGAGGGGGTGGGCTCCGTGTCTTCATTCTCTGCAAGGGAAGGAATTCTCTTCTTTCATTGCTGAGAGCAGGTTTGGCTTTATCCAGGGATGCGCTTCTGTCCCTTCCCTCGCTGCAGGAACGCTGCCTGGGGGGCTGAGCAACGTCCCTGCAGAAATGGGGTCGATTTAAACCTTGATTTCACATCCCTGCAAGAATGGGGGGGATTTAAAACCTTTATTTCACCCCTTAGGATGTCCCTACAAGAATATGGGAGATTTGAAACCTTTATTTCACCCCTTAGCATCATCCCTGCAAGAATGGGGGGGATTTTAAGCCTTTATTTCACCCCTTAGCATCATCCCTGCAAGAATGGGAGAGATTTTAAGGCTTTATTTTACATCCCTGCAAGAATGGGGGGAATTTAAAGCCTTTATTTCACCTCCCTGCAAGAATGGGGGGGATTTTAAGCCTTTATTTCACCCTTTAACTTCCAATGGCAGCAGAAGAACGGAGAGAGCAGGAATTGCAGAGGGACTGCAGGAATTGCTCGTGGGACAGGGAAAGGGAAGGACACAGAGCCAGGGAGGGCAGAGATGTGCGATACCCACGTGTTTTGTGTTGATGCCCGCCCCTGGCACGCTGATTATCGCCAAGGCCACTTGAGAAGGACCAAAACAACCGCGGGACTGCAGTCAAGGCACCGGGGAGGGGCATCCCCCGGGAGGAAACGGGAAGTGCTTTACAGCAGCGTGCTGGAAGGGCTGAATGGCCGATGAAGGCTTCTCCTCTGTCGGTGCTGAGAAAAACTTCCTGGCGGCTGCAGCGCCAAGCGCCCGCCGCTGGAGCAGGAAACCAGGCAGGGTGTGCCCAGCCCATTCCCAACGCACGGCGGGGCACAGAGGATGCAGTGCCACGTGGGCAGCACGCAGGCAGCGGCCTCGTGGTTTCCCGGCCGCGTGTCCCGGGGGGAGCGGGATGCGGCTGCAAATTTCGGCAAATTTGGGATTTCTGGGCGCGATCGGCACCGGCGGGACTCGAACCGCGGCCAGGCGAGCCCTGAGACCACGCCCCCATCGCTAAACCACGCCCCGTTTGTGATCCACGCCCCTGATTGGTTCCGCCCCAGGCCCCGCCTCTCCATTGCCGCCGGCGGGTCATGTGACGGGCCAAGATGGCGGCGCTCAGGGCGGCGGTGCCGGTGCTGGCGCTGCTCGGGCTATGCCCGGGTCCCGCGGCCGCCGCCGCGCCCCTGGTGATCTGGCACGGCATGGGTGAGTCGGGACCCTCCGCCAGGGCCGCGGGGGCGGCGAGGCTGGGCTGGGAAACCGGGCAGCACCGAGGGGCGCTCGTTCCGGTGTCCCCCTCCTCCGGACCGCCGGTCTCGGCGGGACCGGGAGGTGCTGCCCCTCCCGGTGCCGTGGCTGCTGGGCTGGCGGTTGTCTGTGGAGGTTCGGGGCCGTGGCGTGGTGACGCATCCCGGTGTTCCCTCTTGTAGGAGACAGCTGCTGCAATCCGGTGAGCATGGGCTACATCAAAAAACTGGTGGAGAAGAAAATCCCCGGGATTTACGTCCTGTCGCTCAAGATCGGGAGCAGCCTGATCCAGGTGAGCCGCGTGTCACCCGCGGGGCTGCGGGCGGGCGGGGCTGAGCCGCTGCAGCCCGTGCTTGTAACAGGATTCCAGCGGGATTCCTGCCCTGCTTCCCGACCAATTTTCTGTTCTCGCTGAGGTAAACAGCTCTGACAGGTAGAACCCGATAAAGTCCAGCTAATGCCTGCAGAAAAGCACCGGGGGAAAACAAATCCCTGACCTAAATTGGATTAATATGCAAATCCAGTGATTAGCACACTCAGCCAGCGCAGGTAGTGCGTGGGAGGCTGTGCTGAGGCAGGGATTTATCCCTGGCCACGCTCCTCCTTCTGCAAACATTTATTTATTTCAGTGTAATCAATTGCACACTGCTGCACCTTCATGGGGTTTGACAGGATTTTGTAGTGCTGTGGAATTTCTTAAAATAATTTCTCAGGGTAGTATGTGGTGTAGGTGGATTTCTGGGTTCTGGAGAAGTTTGATTTTTAATTTTTATATTGATATGAACAAAATGTGAAGGGATTCAAGTTGAGAAGAAGTTTGGGGAAATGTGCCCCATGTGAGGCAGCTCTGCCAACCAGAGCAGGAGGGGAAAGGGAAGTGAAGGTAAAAGAGAAGTCCCGGAACAGAAATTTCACTTCTGTCCCCGTCAAAGCTCAGGTCCTCTTTGTAAACCACAAATGTCAGAGACGTGTTTGCAGAGCTCAGAGCAGCCCCAGCACAGGTACAAATGCTGCACCCTGCTCTGGTCCCCAGGACATGGAGAACAGCTTCTTCATGAACGTCAACGCTCAGGTGAGCGAGGTGTGCAGGCAGCTGGCCCAGGACCCGCAGCTCCAGCGCGGCTACAACGCCATGGGCTTCTCCCAGGGAGGCCAGTTCCTGTGAGTCTGCTCTCTGCTCCAGCCCAGGGGCTCTGGGGGGTTCAAATCCTCATTTGTGATCTTTCAGAGGTGCCCAGCACACACAAAATGTTAATTCCTAAAGGCAGGAGTGGTCCAAGGGGGCAGGTTGTGTTTTTGTGCCCTTCCAAGCAGGGTTAAATCCCTTGGCAGGTGTTGCAGCAGTGCCCAAGCCCACACAGAACCTGCACAGACTCACAGTTCCTGTAAATCTGCTCTCTGCTCCAGCCCAGGGGCTCTGGGGGGTTCAAATCCTCATTTGTGATCTTTCAGAAGTGCTCAGCAGACACAAAATGTTAATTCCTAAAGGCAGGAGTGCTCCAAGGGGGCAAGTTGTGTTTTCCTGCTCTTCCAAGCAAGGTTAAATCCCAGTGGCCAAGCCCACACAAAACCTGCGCAGATTTACAGTTCCTGTAAGTCTGCTCTCTGCTCCAGCCCAGGGGCTCTGGGAGGTTCAAATCCTCATTATGGCGCTTCAGAAGTGCTCAGCAGATGCAAAATTTTAATTCCTGAATGCAGGATTGTAGTGTTTGTGGGTCCCCAGAATGAGTGAGAGATGAGAATTAACTCCATGTTCTCAGAAGGCTGATTTATATTATATTATATTATATTATATTATATTATATTATATTATTTACATGAATTACATAATATCATATCATATCTTATATTAATTACATTAGATGACATCACATTATATGACATTACGTTATATTATATTCTAAAACTATACTAAAGAAAGAGAAAGGAGACATCAGAAGGCAAGAAAATAATGATAATAAAAACCTGTGACAGACTCAGAGTCCGACACAGCTGGCTGTGATTGGCCATTAATTAAAAACAATTCACATGTTTGGATAAACAATCTCCAGATCACATTCCAGAGGAGCAAAACATGAAGCTGAGGCTTCCCAGGAGAAGAAATCCTGGTGAGGGGATTTTTCAGAAAATATCACAGTGACACAGGAGTGCTCCAAGGGGGCAGGTTGTGTTTTCCTGCTCTCCCAAGCAGGGTTCAGTCCCTTGGCAAGCCCACACAGAACTGTCAGAATGAGAGCACACACCCTCAAGCTGCACCAGGGGAAATAGAGGTTGGATATCAGGAAAAAGATTTTTCCACAAAAGGTGATAAAGTTCTGGAATGTTCTGCCCAGGGAGGTGCTGGAGTCTCCATCCCTGGGGGTGTTTGACAAAGCCTGGATGTGGCACTGGGTGCCAGGGGTGAGCTGAGGGGTTGGGGCATGGACTTGATGATCTTTGAGGTCTCTTCCAACCCGGTGATTCTGGGAATTCTGTGAGTTTGTGTTCTCTTTGCTCTTCCCCACAGGAGGGCTGTGGCCCAGAGGTGCCCTGCTCCTCCCATGCTCAGCCTCATCTCCGTTGGAGGACAGCACCAAGGTAGTGTCTGCCCCCTGGCACGGCTCCTGGGCACCTTTGGGGGCTCTTTCCTAAACTCTGATCACTTTCTCACCAGTTAAATTGTCCCTTTGTTCCTGGCTGGATCTGGTGATGTGTTTGGCCCAATTAGCGTTTGCTGATTTCATTATCTTGATCTTGCTTAATTGGCAGTGGAAAGGAACCTCTGTCTTCTGCCTGGGTAGGATTCTTACCCACCTTGGGAGCTCTTGGGATGAGTTATTTTGTGGGGAAATTGCTACAGAAATTGTGAAAATTGTGAAACTGAACCTTCTGGGCCACGAGGGTATTTTACAATCAGCATCCTGAAGCTGACTGTAAAATCAGCTGCTTGTTTGGGGGGACATTTCCCTGCAAAGCCCCAAGGAAAAGGAGTTGTAAAAAGGAATTTAAGAGTGAGTTCCAGATACTCTGCCCTGAGAATCCCACAGCTCCTGCAGCTGTTTGTGTGTAGCAGAGAGGGAGGATTTGTGGGGAGCCCCCAGCACCCCCATCCCCTATCTGTGCCCCAGCTCAGGGGCAGGAGGGGCTGTGTGAGAGCTTGCAGGGCCAAAATCTGCCTGATCCCCTGGGTGACTCTGCTCCTGCTGTGCAAGAGGAGGCTCCTGTGCAGCAGCAGGGTGTTGAAGTGAAGGGAGACGACCCATCTTTGTTGATCAGCATCTGTTGAAGTGAAGGGGAGAAGCGACCATCCGATGATGCATCGAACTCTGATTTATTGATCAATCAGTCACTTTATATAACAGTGTTAATTAACTTCATGCATATTGCAAAATCCGAGGTCACGATAGGCTAACAGAGAAAACTAACCACTCATTTTGTTTTACAATACCTACAATTGTTTATTAAAAACAGAACCAATGTTCCCACTGTGATAGGAGAGTTTCGCAAAACTTCCATATCTGTTCCCAGGGAGCCAGCTTTTCTCAGACAGAGTGCTTTGCTTGTTATGGGAAGACTCTCTGAGAACCTTATTGTTTATAAAAATGAACCTGGGAACTGCTTTAGGAACTGCTTTACTTTTACCTTTTACTTTTCTCTCAATTGTATGCCTTCATGGCCTTTTTCTTTAAGCCATTCTCCAACAAGCATCGACTCCGATTTATTGAACCAATCAATCACCTTTTATAACAGTGTTAATTGACTTCATGCATATTGCAAAATCCGAGCTCACGATAGGTTACAGAGAAAACTCTACCCCCTCCTTTTGTTTACAATACCTGTGGTTTGTTTATTGAAACCAAGATTTGTGTTCTCACCGTGATATGAAAAGTTCTCAGAACTTTCATATCTGTTCCCAGACCAGCCAAGGACAGAATGTTTACCTGTTATGAGAAGACTGTCTGAGAATCCTGCTGTTTATAAAAAATGTGCCTGAGAACCTAGTTATTTACAGAATCAAGCCTGGGAACTGCTGCTTTACAGCTGCCTTTTACTTTTCCATCAGCTGTATACCTTCATGGCCTCTTTCTTTAAGCCATGTTTGAACCAGGCTCTCCACAGCAGGGCCCAGGGTGGTGACTGGGCTCTGTCCCTGTCCCTGTCCCTGTCCTGCCCAGGGGTTTATGGATTCCCTCGCTGCCCTGGGGAGAGCTCCCACCTGTGCGACTGGATCCGCAGAACCCTGGACCTGGGGGCCTACAGCAAGGCAGTGCAGGAGCAGTGAGTACATCCCCAGCAGTGCCAGCTTTCCTCCTTTTGGGCTCCACAGACTGCCAGCTGCCAGTGGGGGCTCAGCACAGAAACAAAAGGCAGCAGCACGGGCCTGGGGGGGAACTTTATTTCACTTTATTTCACTTTATTTCACTTTACTTCACTTTTTATTTAACTTTATTTGATGGTAAAACTCCCCAAGTCCTGGATCCCAGGCTCCAAACTGAGAACAACACTTTTTTCTCTAGGGGTATTATTAATTGTTTTGTAATTAGGTTGATAAATCATACCTGGAGGGTTGAGAGTTGATTACTTGTGATGGTGTTCACAGGGGTCTGAGGATGTGGGAAGAGATGAGGATCTGACTCCATGTTTCAGAAGGCTTGATTTATTATTTTATTATATATATTCTATTAAAATTGTACTAAAAGGATAAAAGAAAGGATTTCATCAGAAGGCTGGCTAAGAATAGAATAAGAAAGAATGATTACAAAGGCTCTCAGACTTTCTGTCCGAGCCAGCTGACTGTGATTGGCCATTAATTAGAAACAACCCCATGAGACCAATCCCAGATGCCCCTGTTGCATTCCACAGCAGCAGATAATCATTGTTTACATTTTGTTCCTGAAGCCTCTCAGCTTCTCAGGAGGAAAAATCCCAAGGAAAGGATTTTTCATAAAAGATGTCTGTGACAGTAATTCATGGATTGGCTAGGGAGGGTAGTAAGAGAGCTGGGAATGTTACTGAGATGAGGATTAGTGGGATTCCTAGGAAGGATGGGCTTGAAAATTGGTTGAAGAAGCTGAAATTCATGGTCAGGTTCAGGGGGCAGTGCTGAATAAAAAAAAACCCACACTATAACACCCCAGGGCAGGCTCAGGAGCAGCTCTGCCTCTCCAGGCTGAGCTTTGCTTTGTCCCCTCTGCAGCTTGGTGCAGGCAGAGTATTGGCATGACCCCCTGAAGGAGGAGGAGTACAGGAAAAACAGCATTTTCCTGGCTGACATCAACCAGGAGAGGGTAAGGACACTCTGCCCTGTGAGGGCTCAGGCTGAGCAGTTTTCCTCTCTCTGGGCTCTCCAGTGGCTTGGATGTGTTCTCCTGCTTCCATCCAGGGTATCAATGAGACCTACAAGAAGAACCTGATGGCTCTGAAGAAGTTTGTGATGGTGAAGTTCCTCAATGATACCATGGTGGACCCTCCAATCTCTGAGGTGAGGGAGGCAGGGCAGCTCCTGGGGCTTCTCTGTCTCTGGTTTGTCCTGGCAGAGGGTACAAACCCAGGCCTGGCACTGCCCTGGAAGCCCCCTTGGCTCCTGGCACTCCTTCAGCAGCTGCTCCTTCATTTTTTATCCATTTTTATGCAGTGGTTCGGGTTTTACAAAAGTGGCCAAGCCAAGGAGACCATCCCATTGCAGGAGACCTCACTGTACAAAGAGGTGAGTGCTGGGGGCTGGGGGCTTCTGCTGTGTCCCCTTTCTGTCCCTGGGGTCCCACAGCCCTGCTGCTGTCACTCCTGGGGCATTGCCTCCCCTGCCAGGAGATGCTGGTTTGGGGGCACATTTCCCTGCAGGGGACATTTCCCTGCAGCCACTCCTGGCACTGGAACCCAGGGAGTGACACTGGAGGTTCCTGCCTGGCCCAGGGTCCCCTCAGTGCCTCATGAGCTCTGCTCCTGCTCCAGGCTTTGCTCCTGGAATCCCTTTTCCCCTCCATGAGGAGCAGAGCAGAGCTGGAATGTCCCCCTTCTCCCCACAGGATCGCCTGGGGCTGCAGCAGATGGACAAGGCAGGGAAGTTGGTGTTCCTGGGGGTGCAGGGGGATCACCTGCACTTCTCAGAAGAGTGGTTTGACAGCACCATCCTCCCCTTCCTGCACTGAAGCTCCCTGGGCAGGGTTTTTGCTGTAACTCACACCAGTAACTCACACCAGCCACTGTGCACAGCCCTTGGGGCACCCAGGCCTGCAGGGATTGGGGAGGGGAACAAGAGGGGGTTTGGTTCAGAGGGGTTTGGTCCAGAGGGGTTTTGGTTCAGAGGGGTTTTGGTTCAGGGGGGTTTGGTTCAGAGGGGTTTGGTTCAGAGAGGTTTGGTTCAGAGGGGTTTTGGTTCAGGGGGGTTTGGTCCAGAGGGGTTTGGTCCAGAGGGGTTTGGTTCAGAAGGGTTTGGTTCAGGGGGGTTTGGTCCAGAGGGGTTTTGGTTCAAGGGGGTTTTGGTTCAGAAGGGTTTGGTCCAGAGGGGTTTTGGTTCAGAAGGGTTTGGTTCAGAGGGGTTTTGGTTCAGAGGGGTTTTGGTTCAGAGGGGTTTGGTCCAGAGGGGTTTGGTTCAGGGGGCTTTGCCAGGGTGGAATTTCACTCCCAGCTGGGCTGAGCCTTGCCCTGACTCTGACCCAGCCCTGGTGAACCCACCCCAGTTCTCAGAGCTGCTCTCCACCCCCTGTTCCTGCAGGCAGCATTAACCCAGCTCACTAATGCAGGGATCAGCAGGACTCTCATGGTAGGCAGGGCAATCATGTCACAGCCTCTGCTTCAGCAGGGGGGAAAAGGCCAAATTTTGGGGTTTCTGGGAAAATTAACGAGGGTTTAGAATTCAGCAGTATTAACAGCTTGAACAGTTTTCAACTAATGCCTTGGTTTATGCTCTTTTGTACAACAAATCAATAAAGAACTTGCCATCTAATAAACTAAATAAAAGCTGCTGACTGTGTTTGGAGGGGAGCTGAGGAAATTCTGGAAAAGTATTCCTGGGAACTGGGAACTTGTCCCCCCAAAAATGAGACAAGAGCCACAGTAATGAGCAAGTTGGCATTAACTTTATTCTATCTTCTGTATAATCTTAAGTACATAAGAAAGGTTTTTTCACAAGCCTCAGGAGAAGACAAGTACAAGTCACAGGACAGTTTCAAATTAAAAAAAAAAAATTTGCATAATTCTTCCTTTTTTTTTTTGTTTTTTTTTGCAAGTTTTGTACTAGAGAAAAAGAACATTGACACTTGACAGAAGAAATGCATTTCAGATATGCTTATGCCACCCGAGGCGTTGGAAAAATGAAGGTCAAAGCACGTGCAGCTCCCTTTGTGGGTCAGTACAGTACTGTGAGATCCATCACTCTGCTCCAGGGCCCTGGAACAGAGGCCACAAAGCTTCCACCAAAATAAAGAGCCAAGCAACAGGAGGGGAAAAAGGGCAGGATTCAGAGGGGGCTGATTGCAGATGAGGAAGAGAGTGATGAACCGACTTGATCCAACTCTGGTATTTACAGCTCTGCACTGCTGACCTGGAATGGAGCAGCTCCTTCCTCTGGGGAAGGGCACAGCTTGAGAAAAACCGTCCTGGCAGCCTGAAGCTGAGCTCAGCTGCTGCAGGAAGGAAGCCCTGGGGCAAAGGTTGCCTTGTGAAGGTGGAGGGCTCATGGAATGAGAGGTGCTCAGCTCCAAGCTACCAGCCAGGCTGCTGGGTGGCCCTGGTGGCACCAACTGCAGCCTTCCTGTGGCACTGGGGCACGAAAGCCTCCTGTCATGGCACAATCAGGAATGCACTGAGCTAGTGGGAATGATGGAAGAGAAATCAGGGTGGAATTGGCCCAGGTCCTCAGCCTTTGGTCCGACAAAACCGTTCCCGTGTCCTGTGGTGGCAGCAGCTGCTCCAGAGAGCTGGAGGGAGCAGCCTGCAGGAGCTGCCCAGGACAGCTGGGTGCTGTGGCCTCTGACAGACACTGTCACTTGGTAAAAAAGGGGGACAACATTCCTCTCACATGGAACAGTTTTGCTTAAAGGCAATACAAAAACAACACTCTGAAAGCCAACTGCCAGGACTGGCTGTGGAGTTCACCGAGACTCTGATCGATTGCTGCAGTTAGATGGGACAAGGGGAGAGAGAAAAGAACCTTCCTGCTGAGAGAGGTGACAACCACCACCTACCCCAAGCCCCAGGCACAGGAACCTCAGTGATGGCAGGCAGCTGTGTCTCTCGGGTAGAAGAGAAGCAGTTTGAGAGCAGAAAGGTACAAGAAATCTAAGAGAAATCATCTGAAAGCAGATTTGTCCCACAGCAGGGCCAGGGGAGGGTGAGAGCCTTGGAGCTTTTCGGCTTAGCCAGCAATTTCTGTCACGGTGGTGACCAACTTCTGACCGTTCCACACTGTCTTGAACTGTTCTGGGACAGGGAATTCAGTCTGGAGGGAAAAAACAGAAAGCTGTTGTCAAAAATCAGTTTATGGCTGAGTTAGAAACCACTCCCACTGCTTCAGCCATTTCTTTTCTCAGCTTTGTGCTGTCCTGTACCATCTCTGGTGCCTGTTCTGCCCCCAAGAGATCCTGAGGAATAAGCAGCTCTCACAAACCAGCAATAATCTTATTTACAGATGCTTTTTGCTGTTTTTATAAAAAAGACCATCATTCACAACCTCCAAACTCCACAAACCCCACTGTAACCAACACCCTGCAGGGCTTTATCAAGACACAGCTCCTGCGTCCCCCAGCAGGGCTGCAGGAGGATTCCAAAGCAAACTTACAAAGTTTTCCACCTCCCAAAGGACTGCACTTACAAAGTCCCCCCCGTCGGTGGGGATGAGCACGTTCATCTCCGAGGACTTGGCACTGACGATCTCGCAGTCGAGGGAGCTCTTGCTCAGGTACACGTGGCACCCATCTGTCTTGTTGATGGAAATCGTTGGCACTTTACCCATGACCTGGCAGGGCCAGAGCACAATTAGCCTAAACTGGCTAATTTTTTAGCCAAAAATTAGCCACAGCAATTTTTGAGGTGTTTTCTTTCAAGGCAAGAGGTTGGACTCCAAGCCCTCCCCGTGACGATCGCACAGGATTCAAATATTCCCACCTTCAGCAGAAATCCAAAGTTTTTGTTTGTGATTTTCCCCAATTTCTTGTTCTGATTTCTTTAGAACAAAACTTGGGCAAACTGACCATCCCAAATGAGATGCCCAAACTGAACTGGAATAAGCCCTGCTGCTGCCCTCCTGCTTTGGCAGCCAAAGGTGCTTTTCCACCAGCTCTTACCCAAACCCTGAAACAGCTCAAAGACACAAATTTCAGCCCTTTCCCAAAGGACAGATGATGTTCCATGGGTATTCTCCACAGTTGCACACTCCTGCTCTGGAAATTCAACTGCTCCAGAGCCAGGAGAGAGAACAAGAACTTTTACTCACCTGAACTTTGACATCCCTGCTGTTGATGATCTCCACAATGCCCACCACGTCGTCAAACACCAGACCCAGCTTCTTGCAGTTGTCTGCAAAGACAAGCAGATCAGGGCACAGAGGTTTTGGAGGCCCCAGCTCCTGCACACACACACCAGCAGCAGCTCCCAGGGCTCTCCCCACTCACCCAGGGTGATGGAGTTGATCTTGCCTTTGATTTGGAGCGTGCTGTTTGTGCACTTGAAAACATAAGCTACCTGCTTCAGTTCTGTGTCACTGATCACCAGGTTAGTGGCATTCTCCTGGTTTTCCTGAAAAGGCAGAGGAAACGGACTTCATTTTCTGAATGCAGAGCAATTAATCCATGAAAATCCCTTTAAAAACAATCAGGTGCCTTCAGGCTGGTGCCTCTTAGGACAAAGTTCTCCAGAAGAGCCCCCTTTGCTTCTCCAAAGCTCCCATCCCTCCAACCCACTCCTGCCAGCACCAGGCACTCACCACTCTCCACTTTTTGCCTTCTAATTCTAGCAAAGGAGGTGCCTTTGGGGAGGGGTTTGCATTACAGGCAGGTTTGGGAGCAGTGAAAGGTTTGGGGCCGCTTCTCACGGGGCCCCCCTGGTTCTTCAGGGCTGGATTCTTGTGGGTTTTCATGTCATCTGAGACGTGCCTCAAGCCTGCAAGAGAAGGCAAAGCTGAGAGCCAGCTCCCCTCCAGGAATGCAGCTCCCCAAACACCAGGCATCGGTGGTTATCCTAGCTAAGATAACTCTTGTCAAAACACAAATAAACTCCTGAGGCTGGGGCTAAGTGTGAGTGACAGGAAGGGAAGGAGGAAGCAGGAAATGCTGCTGCAATAATGACAAGAACACAACATAAACCACAGAACCAGAGTGTGCCACAGCTCTTCCACTCTGCAGCTGGGAAAAGCCCTGAGCCCAGCACCTCCGGAACTGATGTGCTCACCAGGGAACACAAAAAAGGGAAAATTTGTGCAAACAACAGCTGCCAAATTGCACTTTTTGCACCAGAAAGATGCAGGCAACCAAAGGGCTCAGCCTCAGGTATTAAGTTCATGCCTTGCTCCACCTGCCAGGTGAGGGTGACAATGATGAGGGACAATCCTCACCTGCCAGATGAGGGTGACAATCCTCATCTCAGTAACATTCCCAGCTCTCTCACTTCCCTCCCCAGACAATCCATGAATTACTGACTCTCAACCCTCCAGCTATGGTTTATCAACCTAGTCACAAAACAACCAATAATACCCCTAGACAAAAAAGGACACAAATGAGCCCTAATTTTAACATCCCTCATAATCTTCCTCCTACTCATCAACCTTCTAGGGCTGCCACCCTCCACATTTACCCCACACATTTGTCCCTGGGAAAGCGTCAGCCCCGGAGTGGGGCTGGTGGGTTTTTATGTCTTTTTTAAGCAGGTGCATTGAGGGGCAGCAGGAAAACAAGGAGACACAGCAGCAGGAGCAGCAGCAGAGCAGTCCCTCCCTCGCTGAGCCCCCACATACCCGAGGTGATCCCTTCTCCCCGGTTGATCTGCGCGAACAGCGCCGAGCGCGAGGCCGAGTCGTCCGTGCCGGAGCTCACGGGGGCAGGAGGAGGGGGAGGCCCTGGAGGTGGGGGTGCAGGCCCAGCCGGGGGGGCAGGGGCTGCTTTAGCCCCTGCTGTGGCCACAGGACCCTGGAAGAGCAGGGAAGAGGAAAGGAGCTGGCACCGGCCCCGCTCCTGCCCCGCCGAGCCCTCCCCAGGCTCCCTGCTGCAGCAGCACTCACTGTTTTGCTCCAGGTCAGCCCTGTGGTGTGGTACTCCTTGATGTAGGCCTGCAGCTCCGTCCA